CGATCACGTGAAAGCCATGGTTCAAACTGACATATCGATTTGTGCAATGAACGGCTCATATGAGACTGTGTCCAATCTATTGCATCGATATCTTTAGGTGAATTATTCTTTTGTATTAAAATGACAAATTTAAGAGCGAAAGGGTTCCATTTCATGACGAAAGGTTCGAAACACGTTCCACGATCGACGCGGCCAAAGAAAAGCGTGTTAAAGAGAAAAATGACACGGGACCTTGGGGGAATTAAGTGAATTCCCTTATAGTCGAGCGTGCGTCGTCGGTCTGGCGGCATTCCCTTCGAGGTCGATATCGCGATCGACTGAGGTGAAACGCGTGTTGTTATACAACACGACGGCCTTGAAACGCATAATCGTTTTCAGCGCCTTACATCGACCTCGCCATCTCTCGTATCGACTCTCTTCCCTTTCTTTTTTGCAGAGCAATGTTTACCAACGCCTCGAACGCCAATGACTTCTCCTCGTTGCGACGTCATTCGATAAATATCAAATTAGCATGACAGCAGTCTAACGAGCAATTTATTTTTGAATCAAAGTAATCGTGCCAAGTTCCTACGCAAACCGGGCAAAGGACGTCCACTTCCATTTTCCCTGGAAGAATACAAAATTTACGATTACCGTTTGACGATCGACCGATTAGAAACGATAAATATCAATGTAAAATACGATAGAATCATCAACGTCGTAAAAGTGTTTTTCGCGATTTTATTATCCGTCGAACGTCGGCACTAATTTATGCTTCGTTTCCGTTCGCGTTTCCTCGCAAGCCCCGTCGCGGTTTACCGTTTCGTACGGTTCGCCGTATATTTCTAACGAAACGACCACCCGTTATCTGTACCCACGATTTCCCAGCTCCTTTAAATGCATCGAATCAGAAGGTAATTGTTCGCAATTTATTTCATAACGCGCTTCCTTGCAAGAGCGCGCTGGCCAGTTGAGCGGTTTGCATAACGACGCGATATATTTTCACCTACTTCCGTTACAGTTTCGATGACCTTGGAATTCGATCCAGTGAGCGTTATATTTAATTCTTCGAAAAAAATAAAGCTCGAGCTTCGAAGTTAGCATGAAACGTCGAATAACACGGTTCTTCTTATCGTACCACTCGTTGTAACTCATTATAAATGTTAACCCTTTTCAACGTGAGTGAAAAGGTAGGACGGTTTCTAATCCACCTAATCCCAATGAGTTAACGGATGTTCTTTCCCTCGTGGACATCGAGTTCATATTTTAAGTGGCCGCGGTGTCGCGCCGCGTCGTTTTCTGTGCAATAAACGCGGCATCGAAATCACCGCGAGCCATTCCGATCCCTAGGCGCTGCTATCGATGATTCACTGCCATAATTCTGGAAAACGGCGTCGTAAAAACTTCCGGGAGATCATCCTGGCCGAAGGATTCATGAATTGCACCGCAATCGCGACTCGTTTCCAGTATCACATCCTTTATGGCGATTTAGAAACACGGCGTAGAGTGTACGCTCGATAAATCGGGGCCACGTTAGGGAGAAATTTTTGATCGCTCCGTCGAAGCAATCCGATTGCTTGGATGTAAAATGACGTGTGGCGGATGAGTTACGAACGATAAACTTAAATTGTAATTTAAAATAATTTCTGTTCGAAGTGCCATGTTAATAATGAATCATGAATAATAAATTACGATTATTATTCGAAGTAACGTTTGATTGCTACGTTGGATCAAAATGATGGGTTAAGAAGAGGAATGTTGTTATAGGTCACAGAGAGCAAATCATAGTTTTCATAACTTGCCATTAAACATATCATTTCTTACTATAATCGAGCAATTAATTAATTCGAACAGGACCATAAATACGAATGACTGAAAACATCTTTAATAAAATTACCGATAAAGACACTATATCTGTTTACTCGTTACCGCTGAATTTAGTTCTCGTTTTGCTTTCACGGAATAATATTCTAATCTACATTGTTGCGTGACATCTCGAAACGTGCCCCTACTCGAAATTACGCTTTGTCTCCGCAGTCTCCGCTAAATTAAGATTTCGAAACGCGGAATACTTTCCAGGACACGTTAATATTGGTCGAAGAATGCCAGGAATCCGCTACGGAAGATCTCGTTCTTGCGCGGCGCGACGTCGAGGATGCTCGGCGTGAAATTCAACGAGCCCGCGCGGTTCGAGAGTACTTTACTCTTGCGCGAGAATGCATCGGGTTAATGTAAAAGCAAACGAGCAGAAGCTTTAACGAGTTGTGTGTCACGTTGGTGATGTCACCGGCTCGTGAATCACACCAGTGTTTTCCTGGGGTCGTGAAGCCGTTCGTACATTAGCAAGTTTGTTTACTTGAAATGTCTGCCTTGGCTGCCAGCGTCGCAGAGGAATGGTTATTGCGGAAGTTTGATGGTATCGAGGGAAGCATTAAGCGGTGGGAATAGTTTATTCGCGGAGACGAGCCGTCGAGAGGAGTTCGGGGACACATTTAGTGTTTGGTGGTGTTTAGCACTGTTTTGGGAGGGTTAGTCGGAGTACAAGGGACGAGAGAAAATATTTTATACCTTTCCAAGTATTTGTACGTGTATAAGTATCTATATCATGGGGTATTGTATGGGTTTGATTACTTTGAAAGGCAGGAGGTATTGCTATAAAAGTAGGGTTGGACATTCGGAGCTTGGACATACAGTGCTTGGGCATTCTAGGTTTGGACAAACCACCGACTTAATTACTCTCCACTTCGAAATATGTATAATTTATATCCCCCACAAATTGTCTTTGTGTCGATGGTTCAGGCAAACGTCTCGGAGCATAAATTTGCTTTGCACAAACTGGAAAACAGTCTAGTTTAAGGGCTGAAACGATGCACGGTAATAGCGAGCGGAAGAATTCGGTCGACGAACCGCGAGCGAATTCCAACGCGTCTAATGAAACACGCGAAATACTGCGACCTCGAGGCACGTTCAATTTTCGTAGGAGCATGCGCTCCGGTGGTTGCTCGTTAAATATTGCGCCAGAGGGTGCCGTGTTAGGGCCCGATAGGGGCACCATGCGACCCTCCGCGCAGTGAATTTTACCTTCGACGTAGCTCGTTGGAATCACTTTCCCTGCTCATTCGTTAAAACGTGTGCTCTCTTTGTTAAGCTCCGGTATTTATCGTTCGCGAGACTCGACCCTCGAGTTTACAAGTTCGCGATTCGTTGGCTGGGTACGTTTAATGGGGCACGACCGAAGCTCTTCGTGGCTGACACTCGTGGCATGACGGACCTCGAACAACGATGTTTGTAGTGATGTTGTAACGTATTCCTGGCATGAGCAGTATCTTCGATAATTGGATTTCAGCTTGCAATGAAGGTATTGTAGTATCGCGACCCACATACCCAAAAATAAAGAGTCAAAACGACAACACGAATCATAAGGTGCGTGATTGGTCGCGTAAGAAAAGCAGCCGACTGTGGATCCAAGGATCGTGTGTCTGGATCTGTGTGCCTTATTTTGCGTTTAGACTACTGCAGTATTTTATAGAAGTTATAATTACAATTTCAACTTTACAGTTTACAGTTGATTGTGGCGCGTTTTCCCGCGCGGTCGAGTCAAGGGAAGCGATTAAAGCGGCCCGTCCCTGGCCGAGACAAGTGGCCCCGTATAATTAAGCGTAGGATTTCAACCGATCCCCATTTCCGTGCCGCAATTTTCCTTATTGGTCTCCGCGATCAGCTCTAAAACGTCATCCCCCTTCTCAGACGCGTTCCGTAACGATTAATAAATTGCCAGCGGAGCGTTTAATATCCACCGCGGACATTTTTCCGCGTGCCTTCTTCTTCCTCTTCTTCTTCTTCTTCTTCTTTGGCCAGGATCATTTCCACCTCATACGTCTTCGTTACGCCACCGATGAATAATCTCGATCGCGCCAAGTACCCGCGAGAATCGGCTCTGGCTTGTTCGTTAGCCACCGGTTTTTCACGCTCGCGTGGCGACAAAATAACCGAGGGGCCCGATGATTGCGCTTCCCGCGGCCGAGGGTAGCTCGTTCAACGTCTCGACGCGCATTATCGGCGTGTAATATAGAGACGCCTAAACGGCGACGTTCGAAACACGTTGGATCCCCCTTGTCCGCCTTCATTTTTTACGGCGATCCAATTTAACTCGACGCTGGAAGACCGTGAAGGAGCGTCGACGGGCCCCGAACGTGGGACCGCGAGGTTCCAGCAACCCTCCTCATTTGTAGCCTCGTATTAAAAGGTTGATCCTTTTAGGACATTCAAGGTTGGATTAAGGTAGGAGATAAGGTTATTTATGGGTAGGTTTTATTAAGGTGGGATACAGGTGCTCTAAATTTTTTTAAATAGATAGAGAGCAGGACGTGTGGGTAGAACAATATTAATTTCTTTCAAGGGGTGGTTCTTTTGGAATATATTCCGAGCGAATGGTACGATCGATCCATTTCATTTCATTTATTTATAAAGGTGCGGAATATAAAGCGATCAAAACAACTCTTGTACCAGTCTTTTATTTAAACGTTTTACATTTGTACATAGTCCATTTTTCTCTGACATGCCTAGTATAAAAAGTGGTCGAATCGGGTGATTATCGGCCGCGTAAAACAAAGCAATTACCCGCGAAAATCGAGGGATCGTATTCGCGTCTTTCGCTACGTCCAATTTAAATTTTTATGTGTTATTATAATAAGTTGTGTGTACAAAATTGGGGCCTCGACCCGTTAATTATCGAAATAAAGTAAAAAAACCAGTCGAACCCCGCTGGAGGCTCGAACGTGCATCAATTATTCGGCGAATCGAGAAAGAAGGAGGACCAACAACCGGTCGTTCTTCTTCCTTGGACGATTCTTGGTTCTTTTTCGCGGCGTGTCCGCTCGCGTTCCGCGTCGAGAGAGCAATTGCGCCATACATCACGCTCGCGCGATATTCGCCATTATAATGGGGCGGTTAGGCGCGTCAGGCTCATGGCGTTCCGCCTTTTATTGCTCGTTCTGCTCCTCTTTCTCTTTTCTTTTCAGGCTCGCTTCTTTTGATCGCTTCCCGCGCGCGCGAGCGCTCACGCAACGTTGGTTCCTCTCCGAGTTGTCCACGATGGTTAAGCAGGAATGTTTTAATTGCCGTCGATGCATCGCGGTAGCTGGCTGGGTAAAAGCTGAGGGAGGAAGAATGCCTTGGACCAGTGACTCTTAACCATCCTGCTCTGCGACGCGACGCCCTAGATACTGCTTTAACGACCTGGGGAATATTCATCTTTTACTAAAATTCATGGTTAAGAGCTGTACCCGATTTATGCGTTGCAAGGCCCAAGTTTTTGGGTTCATATCGAGGTGAGCCAGTGAAACATTATTAGCGTCACGGTATTATTTAGTAGTTAAGCAGGATCAAAGACGAGACCTAAATTAAATGAAATTCCCCGGAAATAGCGAGGGTTGTGATTGCTTTCTGGCTACATTCATTGTGCCAGCGAACACGTCAAGAATCTTCTAAACGGTGCTGTGGGTTCAAAAAGGTTAAGAACCACTGGGTTGAACGACGCTTACCTCGAGCAAAATTGCTATTCGCAGGTGTTGTAAGGGAATATCTGCCGTGTATGGCTGCTGGTTTTGCGGTTGCAAGCAAAAAGGATGAAATTTATTCGAGAATGTATACAGGGTACTGGTGGTGCGTGCGAAAATATGGTCATTGCGAATACAGTTCCTTAGCGAGATCCTGCCAAGGGGAGAAAATCGGTCGCGCCTTTGCTCTAGGTGGCTCGCGAGAGACCATTCCGCGTCCACTTCGACATTTTCTCCGAGTTCAGCCTGCTAATATGAATTACTAGCTCTGTTTATTTTACTTTTCAGCTATTATAACTATTCCATTCACATAACTTGGGATGCTGTAAAAGATCTCCTGATGCACGCTACGAAAAGAGAACGCCACAGCTGACTGGTTAATGCATGAACCATCCATTAAAAATTATTCCTAATTCAACAAATGGAACGTACTGGTCACAAAGACTCACAGTCATAGAATTGCAAGGCCATTTCAAGGTCAGGTAGATCCACCAAGAGAGCCAATTTGTATTCCTGCTCAACCCAGATACAACCGACGCACACCTTTCGACCGCAATAACGAATGTCTTGTGAAAATGTCCACGTGCGAAATTTAATTTTTAAGACGAGTGGGGGAAATACAAATTCCTCGGAGAACCGCGCAGGTAATGCAATATCCGTTACGCGGTACGTGTTCGCCAGCGGCCGATTTCCCGGCTGCGGTCAGCCTGATTTTTCCACGCTCGGAAAATCGTGTCACGTTCTCCCGACGATACTTTTTTGGCTAGAACATTCAAATTTCACGGAGTGGCCAGAAATAGCGGGATTACGACGGCCGAGCGATAGCGCGGATTAACATTCACCCCGACGATCGTGCGAGGTATTTCGATAATTCGACGGAGACGTGTCGTCGATCGTGATCGGCGAGCGAATTCGCGAAACGAGGTGAGCAGTGTGTCGAACCGATGTCCCACGGAACATCGATGTCACAGGACCTCTCCTCTTCCTCTCTCTCTACCGTGATCACATAACGTAGGCCCCTCGCACATACTTAATGAAAGGAATCTCTGAGAATGAACGACCGCTCTCGGTCGATTATTCTCCGCGAATACTCGGATCGAAGTTCTGTCACGAACCGTCGATTTCCTTCATTTCGCGTGCTCCGAACCTCGCCACTTATGCCGGTAATCGAAAAAACCTTCCTGCTTTCAACAGGACATTCGCAAGAACACAGACAAGGATCCAGGCGTCAATATCCATGTATAATACTACTAAAATTTATTCAAATTACTCAATGTACCATAATGAATGTTTGTACAAAATGCGAAAACATCATGTTATGTATTCAAATCATATTTAGCTTATCAATAAACGATTTCAAAACAATAAAATTTCTACAAGATTATTCACCTTCCAAATTCCATACTCATCCAAAATCCTTCGTTTCTTGATACATAGGTTTTTCAGTCGTGCCACCTCTTCGCGTATCATGTTCTCCTGATACCAGGAGTCAAATTCTGACAAAATTTCGATACGTACCATGAATTCCTCGTGCCACCTCTTCGCGTATCATGTGCTCCTGATACCAAAATGCAAAATCAGCCAGAATTTCGAAATTTTGAGAGAAGCGATTTGCAACATTTTTGACTTTGCCAGAAACGAAAAATTGGCTAGAATTCCGAAATGTATCGAAAATTAGCCCCTCGAATTAGGCAACCTGTGCTAACAGACGTGTCGGACCGGTTGCCTGCTCGTAGGCGCAAACGTGCCACCTCTTCGCATATCATGTTCTCCTGATACCAGGAGTCAAATTCTGACAAAATTTCGATACGTACCATGAATTCCTCGTGCCACCTCTTCGCGTATCATGTTCTCCTGATACCGAGAGTCAAATTCTGACAAAATTTCGATACGTACCATGAATTCCTCGTGCCACCTCTTCGCGTATCATGTTCTCCTGATACTGAGAGTCAAATTCTGACAAAATTTTGATACGTACCATGAATTCCTCGTGCCACCTCTTCGCGTATCATGTGCTCCTGATACCGAGAGTCAAATTCTGACAAAATTTCGAAATTTTGAGAGGAGCGATTTGCAACATTGTTGACTTTGCCAGTAGTGAAAAATTGGCCAGAATTCCGAAATGTATCGAAAATTAGCCCCTCGAATTAGGCAACCAGTGCTAACAGACGTGTCGGACCGGTTGCCTGCTCGTAGGCGCAAACGTGCCACCTCTTCGCATATCATGTTCTCCTGATACCAAGAGTCAAATTCTGACAAAATTTCGATACGTACCATGAATTCCTCGTGCCACCTCTTCGCGTATCATGTGCTCCTGGTACCAAAATGCAAAATCAGCCAGAATTTCGAAATTTTGAGAGAAGCGATTTGCAACATTTTTGACTTTGCCAGAAACGAAAAATTGGCCAGAATTCCGAAATGTATCGAAAATTAGCCCCTCGAATCAGGCAACCTGTGCTAACAGACATGTCGGACCGGTTGCCTGCTCGTAGGCGCAAACGTGCCACCTCTTCGCATATCATGTTCTCCTGATACCAGGAGTCAAATTCTGACCAAAATTCGATACGTACCATGAATTTTCCTCGTGCCACCTCTTCGTGTATCATATTCTCCTGATACCAGGCGTAATTCGGGCCAGACTTAGATCTGTGCCTCCTTATTGCTTATCATATGCAATTTATATAAGTAGACTTGAGATGGACAGAATTTATTCATCGCGACATACACGGTTTATTTATGGATATCAAACAGGAAAAAGAATCATAGAGACATCTGTTCATCTTATATTTCATGTCAGTCGCCGATCCCATCTTTGACAATTATATAGTGAAACGCGTGTATATGACATAATTTTTAGTATCAGCCCCGAGGTGTAAAGTTATCGATGGCAGGTTCTCGATTGATACCGGTTATGTGACGCGTCTATTTTACATAAATATTAGCGTACACGCCATCGGGATGACAGGAGCGATGGTTTATGTGAAGTATTAAGATTATTACCTCGAAACCAAGATAACGTTAAAAAGAGTGATTTTTTGTTTGTTCCTCAAATGACAGAAGATAAATGTTGTACTGCAATGAATTAATGGAACATAAACCATAATCGGTACAAGCTGGTGACGAGTTGCAATGTAATAACTGTTGATCACGTTTCAATATGTAACTTGCGACAGCTATTTACTTGCATTTTCGATCACCCAGGTAGTCAGGAAAAGACATTATTTCATGTTATTAAATATTTATTATTATCTTTTTTTATTTAAGCCCAAATGGAACTCTCTTATATTAACAGTATACATATATATCGTTACATGAGTTTGTGCAAGATGCGTTTTATTTTACTTTATTCTGGTTGTGTATTTTAACAATTAAAACGTCTAAATATTTTCATGATCATTGAAATTCAATAGGGACATTCAACATTTACACGAATATTTGGGAAAACTGCAGATGATTCCTTCGCTATCTTCATAAAAGAAGGGCCAAGTCACCCTATTAGGAGTTAATGAAATTTTCCTAACGCAATTAGAGCTCCTGGAGCCCGTTCGAGGATCCAATCGTCTTGTTCCAGCTGGTTATCGACGCGCTCGATTGACGGTCATCCCGGGGAACCAGTCAATCATGCAAATGGCGGCTGGTTGATGGGGAGGTAGCAGCAGCTTTCTCTGGAAAACCTCTGACCGCAGCTTCCCATGTACCACATAAGATAATGACGCACGGTTCTCGGCATTGTGAACCAATAACCGATGGGTAAGGTACCCGTCGGTCTCGTACAGTTCGTTCGACGGGGCCGTTTCCGAGGCCACGGTCCAAGGTACGTGCCGCGCGGGAGGAGTTGCCTGATGGCCGATTCCTCCTCGAACGAGGATTTTCGAGCGGGAAGAAGAAACGCCGAAGACAGTGTTCGGCTAGTGGGAGAGAGAAAAAAAATCAATGGGAATAACGGTGACACGCATGGGTCAGTGCGTTTGTAACCTTTGAGTTCTCTCTCTTAGGGAGACGGAGGAGAGGAGAGGCCGGCTCGTAGTCGAACGAGGAACGGTAAACGCGCCAAGAGTAGGATATTTCCCTTGACGTAATTCCATTCGACATTCTCGCGCGGTGATACCAACCGCGCACCTTCGGCTAAAGGGTCGACGACCTCCCACGCGCGGAAAAATCCATCTGCCCCGGCTATTTTCGCACCATTATTCGATTAATTGCCGGCCTTGTCCAGCGCCCGTGGATCCCGAGACGCACGCGCCTGGAGTCACTCGTTGTTCGGGGAAGACAGGTTGAATCTGTGGAACTTTTTCTCCGAGTTACCTTGGACTTAGCAGAGTTGGCAAAGAGGCAGCTTTGGCATGCGAAGAAAAGAATAACGATATAGAGATTATTTTTAACTTCCTGCTAATATCAGCCTCGAATAATTTCCTCGCGGGCTCGATAATCGTCCCAAATAATCTCCCTAAAGGCGTCTAAATAACTCCGATTCGTTCAGCATAAATCAGTGGGCTGTTTGCGCCCCGTAGCGGATCCGTTTACGCGCCGTTAAATCGCAGGTTCGATATTTACTTCGAGATTCGAGACGGGCGAAGACTTGCTTGCCTAGAGTAAATCGGCGAAAAGGACTTCCAGGGATTTGAGGGTAAGTCGCCCCCTTCGAGACGGGTTCCCTCACCCTCGATGTTATCGGGGCGTAGCAACCCCAAGACGTCTACGTCTGAGGGATCCCCAGGCCCCTTGGAATCGATCCGTCGACGTTCTAGCACGCGCCAAGGATCTCGTCGGGGGAATAAATATCCATTTCATTTCGTGGCCGTTTATGAATGATACAGATCGCGTCGAGCCCTCGTCTAATACGGGAGAGGAGGCCTCGTCTCGCGTCTGTCAAATTGAATCTTAATACACCGAGCCCTCCGCTTCGATCCTTACGAAGTTCGGTCATCCTTCGATCCTGAAGGATGTTATCCTTCGAGGAGAATTGGGGGATATCAATCCTCAGCGAGATAAACGGCCTCTGGTTTATCTTCCTCGACTAATAGACGACGCAAAAATTGTAATGCTGGATTGAACAAATTGACGTGGAAAGGACTTTCCATCCGAGGGGTCCATAAGTGATCGGACATCTTAGGGCCGAGCATCGATTATAAAAATATCGACGAGTGCACTATACTGTGAAATTGGTGGGACTATCATTTTCTTTCGGGACGCGCGTGATAATAATTTCAGTGACTACTTGGATGAAGTGCCGCTTTGAATAAATATTCCGATTTCATCTTCGTAATAGCGGCTCCACCGATCCTTCTGGAGCCTCGCCATGATCGTCCTCGTTTCTAAATAAAACCATCGCTCCATGTTGCAGTCCAACACACTTCCACGCGAATATCGGTCGCCGATCCTTTCCGCTGACACACAGATTTGTATAAATTACAGCGCCGTAAGTATCCTTGGACATGCAGTTTCTGTTCTCGGCGGAACATCTTCCGGACCATCTACAAGGCCGCCATTCTCCCACAGCGATCGCGGTACCGTTAACCCTGGCGAGTTTCGCTGGTCGAGGACGAAACATCTATTAACATTAATAAGAAGAGAAGGCCGTAGGTGGTCCCCCGGCGCATAGAGAAGGCCTCGAGGGTTCAAGCCCAATATGCCAGGATGCAACCGCTATGACGTGTCATTGTGTCGAGGCATGGATCACCCTATTTGCACTGAAGATAAGCTAACTTTACTCGAACAATAGATAACCAATGGCGTAGCGATTTATTCGTGACGTCTGTTCGATCGAATAGCTGAATTTTTAAGGCATTTTGGGTATAGGTATATTAACGCGCACCTAAAAGGGATCACAAAGTGGATCGGAAATGTTTGCGGTGAAGTTCTCCGCGAAAGAGTTCCGATTTATAAATTTAATAAGACTAAATTATAACGTAGAAATTATTCGACACGTTTAGTTATTTTATTTGTTATGTAACGCGCACGTTGAATAGCTACACGTTGACTTTATTCGTCGTCCGTTGTTCGAGCAGGATTTTGTCCACCTCTGACAGGGACACTTGGAATCGTCACGACGAAACATCGAAGGCCAGCTTTTTCCACGAGCGGTGAACACCATCGGATGGGTTACCCCCGATGCATATCAATAATAGAAGAGGCGACTCTGAAGTCATGTTGGGTAAACTTAACTTCGTCGTGACTTCGCAACAGCACCGTGTCACGAACTTGGACTTTCCGGCGAATGAATAATCGGGAGGGATAAGGATCTACGGGGGAGCGTAAATTCTGTATCCGAGACTCGGGAGGTGATGTTGGTTTTCGATGATTCTGCGTTACACGGTCTTCCCTTTCGCAGACCTTTTTCCAACTAAATTTAACG